GGGGGGGGGGGGGGGGGCTAATGAAAACTGTGATTGGGGTTTTGGTGAGAGAGGGCGAGATCGATCCACTCGGTTCGTCGCGCGGGACAAAGGAAGCCCGGAAAGACCGGTTCGAGGCTAATCACCGAGTCGTCCGATAAAAGCCTTTTGAGAAAATTTTCCTCCTGTGGGGATACGTCGGACCCAAGAGTATATTGGATCGAATGTTCGACCCGCATCACGCCAACGTCACAAACATTTTCTTGACGAATAGGGAGGAGGAGGACTGATAATTACTTAAGGTTATCCAATACAACTTTTTCATGTAAAAAATTGGTTTCAACATTTGTAATTAACGTCAGAGTTTCCACTCACTTTCGGCAAAATCGAATTTTTTCGCCCAGTGATCGGTGATTCTGTATTTACTAACGATTCTGATGGTAATGGAGCACTGGGAGGCCCCAGAAATACAGAAATAGAATTTTTTTTTTTTTCACCTGGGGCCAAAGTGTCACATCTTGGATTTTTTCAGGGGGAAAGTCGACTTTCGGCAAAATCGAATTTTTTAGCCGGGTGAACGTTGATTCCAACTTCTTAAGCGACGGGCTATTCAGAACTCTCAAAAGTATGTGGAAAAAGTGAAACATGAAAAAATTTTTTTTTCAGTTTTTACTTTTTCTACATACTTTTGAGAGTTCTGAATAGCCCGTCGCTTAAGAAGTTGGAATCAACGTTCACCCGGCTAAAAAATTCGATTTTGCCGAAAGTCGACTTTCCCTCTGAAAAACCGGAAAATCTGTCCCTTTGAAAATCTGGAAAAAAAATTTTTTTTCCAGATTTTCAAAGGGACAGATTTTCCGGTTTTTCAGAGGGAAAGTCGACTTTCGGCAAAATCGAATTCCAAGTATTTAAGCGACGGGCTAGTCAGAACTGTCAAAAGTATGTGGAAAAAGTGAAAACTGGAAACCATTTTTTTTCACCCGGAGCCAAAGGGTCAAATCTTGGATTTTTCCAGGGGGAAAGTCGACTTTCGCCAAAATCGAATTTTTTAGCCGGGTGAACGTTGATTCCAACTATTTAAGCGACGGGCTATTCAGAACTCTCAAAAGTATGTGAAAAAAGTGAAAACTGAAAAAAAAAAAAATTTTACCGGGGGCCAAAGTGTCAGATCTTGGATTTTTTTCGGGGGGAAAGTCGACTTTCGGCAAAATCAAATTTCCTCGCCAAGTGAACGTTGATTCTATATTTACTAACGATTCTGATGCTAATGAAGCACTGGGAGGCCCCAGAAATGCAGAAATAAAACAAATTTTCTTTCTTGGATGTTTCCCGATCTGACACTCTGCCAAGGGAAAAAAATCCAGAGGTTTCATTCACATGTTTCATGCAATCCGAATAAATTTTAATAATTGTTCCTTCCATCTAACACTTTTTAATCAGCAAATGTCATTACAAATAATCAACCAAACCGACATAATTAATTTATCCAAATCCTTCGATTTCTTTTTCCATTTCCAAATGTCGTTTATCCCACACCCTTCATTATTTCCATCGACTGACGAGTAATATCTTTATACACTTTCCGCTCTCTCACAGCATTCCCCTAAAGTTGATTCAGGTTAAAATCCTCCTTTTGGTCGAGCGGGCTTTTAAAAAATGCCTTTGTTCTCTCCGTTGAAATTTACGTAAGACCAATCTCCATCTTTTTCACTTCAGAAACAACGTTTCTTCATAATTAAGGTACATCAAACTCAGGGATAATTAATTCATACCTAACGAAGCAATTTCGTAACGTCAACATTTCTGTCGGTTCGCGGCGGAAGGGGGAAAAAGTTGCGAGAATTTCGCCCTAATTGAATTAAATCTGCAGCAGAAGAGCGACACCGGCTAGAGTCCACTTTGCCGGTTTGTCCTTTGTCTTCAAATTGAAGGTCCACACATAGGTTGGCCCACGTGTTCGTGTTTTATACATTGGACACTCGTACATATTCCTCAAGTCCTGTTTATCCTGGGTTATTGCACGTACGTTGATCACTGGCAACATTGGAAATAGCTCCTTGGGTCTTGAATCCATTAATAACCCGGCTTGTACGTCCCACCGTGCGCCTTCCATGAATATTCCGTGAACGTAAGCTCCATCCCTCGGTGCTGTACTACATGGAATATTAATATTTACAGCGAACTTTAAACATTTAATCAATAATCAACACCTCGATGACAATTTTAAAACATTACTAACGTAAACTCTTCTTTGTTTTTCTTAGTTACGTCACACTGGAGACACATCTTGTCGAGAGGAAGTTCATATCTTCTCGCTGTTGACTGCATAATTGCTGTCAACAGGGATTGAGGATTGAAGAAGCCTGCCAGCCACACTGAGGACGGCAGCTGTAACATTAAACGTGAGTCTTCCCACACTTTTTCTATTGACTGTTAATTCTGGGATATCCAAGTACTTTGGCTATTTTTTCTCCTGTGAAATGCTTTCATTTGAGCCCCGTTTGACCCTGAGTTCCCGAATATTTTACAATGGATTTATTATTTAAACTTTGCACGTTTGCATTTTGATAGTGAACCGTTAAAAAACATTTTGAAAATCTGAAAACAAAATTTGGAGTTTACTTTTGGAGGAAGATTAATGAAATAATTTTAAAATTGCAATTGTTGAAAATTACGAGCATTTTCTATAAATAATTTATAAACAATTAATTTTCCACCACAAATATCACTCGTTCGGAATAGTACCAAATTTATTCATCTCCAGAATTTCCCCAGCATTCCATTACATACAAAAAAAATTTCCAAAATTTTCACCAATTTCAATGATTTATTTATAACGGCGAATGTTAACAAAACCAATAATTCCGTGCAAAATGTCCTGCGGTCTCTGCCAAACATTAAAAAATACTTGGATACCCTTAACACAACTCGACTACTCACTGCAAAGTCTGTGGACCATGTTTCCAATTCTCTCAATCGAAGCAAAAGATCCACAAACCAAGCAGTGAGCCCCAGCAACGACGGATAAGCCCTTTGTGCCCAAACTGGTGGGACCTGATCCAAAAAAAGCGCATTCTCCAAATCCTCCATGTCCGAGGTAATAGTCAATTCGCCCTTCAACCCAAGATCTAGCTCTCGTAACGATCTCTTAATCTCCCCAGTCAGACCATTCATCCTCTCGCACTCCTGAAAAGCGACGATTACGTAGGGTGTACGTTCTTCAACCTTGGCCATTATGTCAACCATATTAAACTCCTCGGGCAGCTTTTCCATTATCTCATCCAGTATTTGCTTCACCTGTTTCAAATTAATTGTCCATCACTGTCGCCGTTATCATCGCAGTGAATAATTTCATTCATTAATCTATCACCTTGTCCTCTCGTGTTGTTGTCTGCCCTCCAGAATCACCGGCGTCACGTGGCTGCATCTCGAAAACAGTTCTGAATAAATTTTCCGATGTTGTCGTAAGAAATCCAATTTCAGCATTTGGATGTAAACCGTAGAGATAGGGTGACTCCGGTGGGAGGGCTTCGTCGATGTAGGCATGGTAACCAATGAGGTCGGTACTCGGTGGAGCGGGAAATCCTTGAATGTAAATTCAACGTTTAGAAGGTCTCTTTGAAGTTAAAGATATTTACATTTCGGTAGTTGCGTAAGGAGTTGGGGCAATCGAATCGTGAAAAAAAATATTGAATCTTTCGGGGAATTAGGGCTGAGGATCAATAGAAATTTGTGGAGTGTGAGTACCAGGCGCCAGTTGGAGCTCTCCATCGACAAGTTCGGGCTGCATGAGCTCCTCCAGGTATGACACACAGAGTCTTCTGTCCCAGTCATCAGTGATGTGACCGCCGTACATGATTTCGCCAAAGAGGTACCGCAAATCCTCCCAAGGAACCCTCGCGCTTGCCTCCAAATAATTGTAGAGGACACTGACACTTATGTTGAGATCACCAACATTGAAAGGATAGATTTTGTTCCATCCTTGAGGGCCGAATTTTCGTCTCTCCGCTACGACAGCGTGGAAATAGCAGAGGGAGAAGAGGATTGCCTTGAATTCGGCCTCTTTGCTGCACATCTCTAGTGTCTCCTGAGTGAAATTGTCAAGTGCTTTGTGGAGATTCGCCTGCATCCCGGTGGGGGGCTCATTTGTGATCTTGATGGAGGACTCGAGGACTCCTTGAGGGATGATGTGCCCTGCTGGAGTGCTCGCTGGCTCGGCACTCATGAACACACGATAATTGTCGTCAGATCCCTCGGCCGCCACTTCCAGCTTCTTCTCCAACAGCGGGAGCCATTTTTTCACAAGATGAATGTTTTGGAGGATCACCCAGTGACCGGCTTTGGAGGCTATGTCCATCGCTTGCTCGGCTACGGTCTCCTGACCTTGACCGAGAGAGACGTTGTGGAAATTCTGGGCATCCGCCGAGAAACCCAAACGCCTGCCCAAGTCTTCAACATCCTGAAGTATTGATTGAAGTCAAAACTTGTGATTGTTCATTGGAAACAGATAATTATTATAGATTAGCTCATCTTACTTTGAGGGGATTGACACCTGGCGAAAGAATGAAGAAGATCGGAGTCGATGGACTGGTCTCTTCGTAGGACTTTGAAAATTCTACTGTCTTTCCTTCAACATACCGCACACCAAGTTTCTCCTCGATGAACACAGATATGGCATACGTCATTCTGTCTGGCCTCAAAGCTCTGAGCATGCATAATCGTTGGAGCGCTGTCTTATTCTTCCACTCCTGCGGAAACTTTTCGCGCTCGGGACATTCACATTCCACAAACTTCTTCCATCGCTTGGCAGAAATTTCAATATCTCGGTCTAAATTTCTGTGAAGAAGAAAGTTCATCAGCAAAAGTGGTCCTATTATTTGAAAAATATTGGCAATTGCCCACCTAAACTCATCTCTGGACGAAAGACTCCTAATTCCACCCCAGCTCGTGTTGGTTAAGAAATCAACCGGTGATGTAACATGGGGCATAATTGGGAATCTTAGCAGAAGATCCAATTCAGCCGTAGATATTTCTCTTCTGACCAAGAGTATTTGGAATGTCATTTGCGATGTGAATATCAGTTTGTCGCATTCGAACAATCCTCTCGTTGTGTACATGAAAACAGAGTACGTGATGCACTCGATGAGGTTTATCACTCTGCTCGTCACGTCTGGAGCAGGATCGGCTTTGAGAATTGCTTTCTGGAATACAACACTGAATGCCTTCAGGGAGAATTGGTATATTGGATTGATGGTGTTCAGATCGTTGAGGATGAAGTACAGTAGTGAGGCTCGTGCTGCTGCTGGACGATACAGCTCACGTGCTGCATCAATTTCTTTACTCGTACCACGAGCCTCATTCACTTTACGCTCGATCTCGGCTGCCGTTCTCTTTGTCGTCTCTAAATTCTCGACCAGGGCTGTGTCGCCCAGGACATTCTCGTCGGCGGAGGATAATCTTTGCAACAGAATTAGAGAGTTTTTTCCTTTGAAAGAAATTCATATTCTTGAAAAATCTAGACTACCTAATTGTCAAAAATCATAATTTTGTGACAAATTCAACAAAACTTTTGGGTTTTCTAAAAATATTCGGGCAACACTAGTGGAAGACAGCTTCTAAAAAGTAATAATTGAGGCAGAATGTACGTCAATTATTTTACCGAGAGAGCAACGAATCCTCCAGCCCACTCAGTGTAATCTTGAACTCATTCTGCTGTCTCGTGAGGTCGGCCTTAAGTTCCTCAAGATCCGGCCTCTCGGCCTTAACAACTTCAGCCAACAACTGATCTTCAAGTCCGTCCCTCGTAACCGTAAAATTAATTAGCGTCGTTTGCGCCTGCATCTCGGGCTTGTAGTGGGGATTTGCCAATTTGGTGTGTAAAAGAAGTCTAAATGTGGGATTATATTCAACTTCTTTATCGCCAATTTTTATCGCCCTTCCTTTCTTAATGAGATTGCGACCCAGGAGGGGATCTAATACGGGGTCAACAGCTTCACCGATGTTCTCAATGAGCACTGTAGCGCCCATTGCCAGAGACTGCTCGATAACATCCAGGTAACCACGTTGCCCTAAGCGAATTACCCTCAACTCATCGCCGTATTTTTGCTTGATCCACTTGATCCCCTGGAGCTGATTGACGAGTAAATTATTCAGAAGAGCCTCACGTGATTACTTGAAACTAAATTAGAGACGTACCTGGGGATCAATCATCAGAGGCCAACGATCAGAGTTGGACAGAATAGTCGCATTTTCCGTGGACATTCTGTCATTCGGCAAGCCCTCGTTATTCCACTTGGCAATTTGCGTGTCATTTGTCAATAGCGTTAGAACATCAAGCCCATCTGTTATGGGAATGACTGGATCCAGTGTTTTAACCGCCGGTAACCACTGCTTGTTCAACAGATCTTGTCTAAACGTTTTAGTAAAACAACCGACGTAGGAGATGAATGCGGTAATTAGGAGTACATCGCCCGGTAGAGTTGAGCCTTGATGCATCAGACTAATAATTTAAACACTCAATTAAACATCTCCACGTCGTGATATTGTACCACGGGGATAATTTGGCTTACTTAGCTACTGAATCTGCCCAGCGTACGTTCTCCGAAGCGAGACCCCCGACTAATCGATTGGCAAGGGCGATAATTGCGTTAGTAGCGTCTGCTTCCTGCTGGCACTTGAGTTTCTCCGCAGTTGCCTGCTCAAAGTCCGCTGTGAGTTTGGCTAATTGCTCCTCTAATGACTGCACAAACATCGAATATGTATCGTATGATAATTTCGCTCAGAACTATTGCAGCAGCGAAGTGGTGAAACGAGTCGATTTTTACTATTGGCCAGTTTTTAGTGAATATCTCGGAATCTAAGGGAGATAGCCAACTTTTTGTCAATACCTGTTTTGTAGCACTCAATTTGCTCTAGAAAAAAGGTTATTAGGAAAATTCCGTTATCTCCTTTAGGTTCGGAGATATTCCTGAAAAACTCATCTAAGGGACAAGTCAACTTAAACCGTTTTAGAACTTCGCTACTGATTTCCATCGATTGATTCAATTTTTTAAAAACATTTTACAGCAACTTTCCGCTTGATAACACTGAGTTTGTCTTGTGCTGCTGCCAATTCGGCGTTCGCCTGCGCCAGGGCTTTTCTTTTGGGCTCAACATCGCAGAATACTTCGTAGAATTTGATGATGTTGATGACCCAGGCGCACAGACCCGCAGCTGCTGCTGATTTTGATCTTACAAATTCCGGTTCAAACTCGGAATCCTTGAGATAGGGCTGTATTGCTTTGATAACTTCGGGATGAATGTTCTCCTTGTCATAATTGATAAGTGCATCGAGAAAGGCATCAACCTTTGCCATGACAATCTACAGGGGGGATTATTTGGCGGGTACCATTAGAAAGTTCACAGGACATTTTAATTAGTTATAGAATGTACGACATGGCATTAAAGCAAATGTACCTTGGCGGCTTTCCAGCTCCTGTCCTTTGGCACTTTGCCATCCGGCGCTAGGAGGACCATTACGGCGGCAGTGACGTTGGTCACAGCACCCGGAGGAGAACCAAATGACTTTAATTCCGTCAGATTTGCTTTATTAAGTGTGTTTAAAGCCTCTTGCGCAGCGAGTAGTGCTGGCTCGGCCTTCAGCAAATCCGCTTCGCAATCCCTCTGTTTTTTTAATACCTCTTCAGCAATAACTGCCACTTTCGATTCCTCCTCGTCAGCTGTACAGTTTCAATGTCAATAATTAATTCGTCGGGATTTTTAAAGTTCGGGATTTTGTCTTATTCTACAAACCGAGGGCTTTTTCCCGCTGCACTTTGGCCGTTTCAATTCCTACAATTTCAATGAGCGCATCGGCCGCCTCGTTCTTCTCCTTCAATTCAATCTCCTGTACCGCCAGTTTCTCCTTCAACTGATCAACTTGGGCCGCTGTTGATTTTAACTTTGACAAACCATTTTCCAGCCGCTCTATGCGACCCCTTAATTCGCTCGTTTTAGCTTTAAGAAGTTTAGTGTACAAGCTAATTTGTTCCAGGAATGACTTTGGTGTTGTATAATTGTAACGTCTCTCTCCCGCCAAATAGGCACGGCTCGCTGCGTTAACGGTTGTGTGAGCGTGTGCCATGAACTTTGCCGCTGACTCTCTAAAATATTATTTGACGCCTCGTCGATTACCCCAGACACAGTAATTGCATGACTAAAACTCTCGTTTCTCAAACCTGAATCCTTCGGGTAATTCCACAAGCTCCTCCAGAAAACGCTTTGACACTGACATCAGAGCTTCCTGGGGCCACTCGTGAAACCAATTGATCGCTGTGCAATTTATTATCGCTGGGAATTTTCGGGATCGCACACGGAGGGTGGAGCCCACCGGGGAAAAACATAAAACCACCCTGAAAATTGGAGATTGGGAATTTTGCGATAAGACTGAATTTTTTATTGTTGATTATTTATTTTTTGTACCTGAGCTGGCGTCTCACACGATCGATAAAGAATTTCCAACAGTTCTCGCGCGTATCCAATATGCCGGCCCCTTTGACTTCATTTCGCACACCTTCAATTGAAATTCAGTATCAGAACGTTCTCGGGGCAGGGGGCAGTGCACTGTTAGAAAATTACTCTTGAAATTTCAAGTGGAAAAGCTTGAAGTTTTTAACAACGACAAAGTTATGGGAAATTTCTGTAGAATTCTTCATTGATGAATCAGTTAATTTCTTGAATATTCAAGTAATTCTCGATTTTCAGGTCCATACGGCACTGAAAAACCTTGAAAATTTGGAAAATTCAGGCGATAACTTCTCTGAATTTTCAATCTATTGAAAATTAAATTATATTTGATGTTAAGTATTCACGGTGAGTTTGAAAATTCAAGCTTTCATTGAAAAATCAATGGTTCTTTAACCTGAAAACCCCAATTTTCTTAAATTTTCAAGATTATTGAGAAATTTATTGAACGTTTCCATTCGAAATTGAATTTAATCTCACAACATTGAAAATTCAGATGACATTGTGACTGAAATTTCAAGAAATTTCCAGCAGTGCGGGACGAATCTACTTTACCAGCGATTATATTCTCAACCTCATCCTCAGGGAATAAATCCGGCACCTCGCCAGACGCTAGCATATCATTGATTAGAACGAGAAACTGCTCGTTCGGTACCTGCGCGTCAGTCATGAGAAACATAATCCCAATATTTTTCATTCCCGATTTGAGATAGAGGCCTGCAAGCTCGATTTTAAGATCAAGAACGCCGTAACCTTTTCTCAGTTGAATCTGGAAAACTTCTAGGGAGCTTATGAATGCGGACAAACGAGAGAGGCTTTGTTTTCCGGAGCCACCGACGCCGACTAACAAGGCACTTCCCCTCGGGGACTCCAAAATCCGATTAATTCGGCACACATGCATCATTGCGTCTTCGAAGAGGACTAGGTTCATTGCGGACACTAAGTCGTTGTAGCTGACGAGGGCTTCTGACAACAGGCGATGTAAAGTTGCCCAGTTTTTTATTGGCATGTACTTTGGCTCACCCACTCCGCCTGGAATAGTACAATTATGAAATCATTTTTATGATGCGCATCATAATTCATTAATTGAGGTCGACTCATGAGATTTTGATCAAATATCGCGACGTTTCGATTAAAATGTAGTCTTCATGATGCTCTAGAAATTTTTACGATAGTTTACACCGAGAAAATTACCAGCGAAATGACAATAGATATTTGGTCTTTCGAGCACAGCCCCTTCATCAATCTCCTCTGTATTCTTCTTCAAAACGTCAATCTGCATTTTTCCAAAATTATCGATGTCCTTTTCATCGGTGAGTTTATCCCCATAAACCCGATACGTTTCGTGCATCCACAAACGAATGAGGTCCGTTGGGCACTGCAGACACTCATTTCCACTGAAGAGTAAACCTTGGAAGCAGTTTGATAGATCACGTAAATTGAAAATGTAATGGAATTTAGTAGCCGTAGGGAGGAACACCTGGGTGCAACGATTGTGAAGTTGGAGAGTGGCCTGGACTATCGGATTACACATTTCCGTGACGGAGAGGGGGAATCTGAGGCCAAAAAATTCGAGTTAATGAACAGAAAGGGTTAATCGAGGAAGTTTCAATCACCTGTGTTCCAAATTCGCCAAATGCTGGGAGAAAATTGACGAGTAGATGGTCATCAGACACTCATGATTCGGAAAGCTGACAGCAAAGACAGCGAAATGCCTTTGCAGCCTAGGGTTTATTGTAAATGACCCAGCAGTTGGATTCATGCAGCTCACATACTGACAGTTATGAATGTCTTTCAGCGTCAATTTGGTCCTGTCGTACCAGTGGCCATAATCAAGATGTTGTCTGATTAGTGTGTGAGGTTGAACAGTGCCATAGGCATCAACCTCAGGCATATTGAGATCGTCAATGAAATAAATTAATGTTTTGTTTCCTGGAGGTCCATAGTTCCTTCCTGCCTTTTTCTCCAACGGCTTCTCCAGAATTTTCTGGAGCATCTCCGAAGAAGTATAAAAATTGAAAGGAACATTCGCCACCGCGTAGTTCTCAGACAACTGGAGAAGCTTCTCGGAAACCAGAACTGTCTTCCCACATCCAGCACCACCGACCAACATCACAGGGTGTTTCTCCTCCATCAAAAGATCAAGAAAATACTTGATCCTGATTGACTCAGACGTGTAAACCAGGGCAGCTTGCAGAGGCATGTCAGGGTCTAAGAAGAACTGAGGAACGCGCTCCGACCAGGGGGTGAAGTCCTTGGTTTCTGGATCGATGTAATAATCGAAAACAGTTCCCTGCGTCGGGAATTTGATCTGCTTGAACTCATTGACCCACCACTTTGTGAACTCCACCCTGTAATCCACCGTTTGATCCTGGAACATGGCCGAGCCAAATGCCCACACGGCAGCAAAGACGAAGTAGAGTTCGTAGTGGTCTTTGTTGAAGTCGTTGTTTGTCGTTAATTCCGGCTTCAGCAGACAGCTCAACAAGTGACACAGCATCTCTATGTGCGCCATTTCGGCGATGGGGGTGATTTTTTTGAATCGCGTGCGCATTGTGTCCAGGCAAATCGGAATATACTTGTCGAAAAGCATCACGAGGTTCGACTTCTCCGCGGGAATTGTTCTCGTTTCAATCCAACTCGTGACGTAAGGATTCCACCCTAGGTCCTGGGGATTGATGTAGAGAATCCCGGCTCGTGACACCGTTGCGGGTGTTGCAGTCCGCAAATTCGATATTTCGAAGAGGAGTCTCATTGCAGGTGTCAGGGCAATCCTCTCGTTGCTGGCCAGAGTGAGGATTTTGTTGTCGTCCATCACTGTGTTCAGGGACTCGATCCACATCGGATCAATGTCACCATCGAGAATTATCCACTTTGGGTTGTCCCCACCCAGGTTCGCTTGGTCCCTCATGATCACCGAGAACAATCCGTCTTTCCACTCTCTCGTCGCGGGATTAATTATGCCAAAGAGGTCGTCATTGGTCACGGCTTTTGGATTTAAATCAGTGTAAATAGGCTTGCGCTTGATGTTCTGGTAAGTTCGGAAGAGTGTTCGCCACACTTGAGTCTTTCCAGAACCCGCAATTCCTACTATGAACACTGAGTGTCTGACTTCCAGCAGTTCTTCCAACTGCACGACTTTGAGAATGAAGCCGTCTTCAGGTTGTAGAAGTAGATCAGCAGCCGCTTGTTTCACGGTTTTCTCAAACTCCACGTCGCGTTTTCGGGGGACATCCAAGGCGGGGAATAGATCGGCAATGAGTCCCATGAATACTGGAAGGTCATCGGACACAACTTTTGGGATGTTGAAGTCTCGAAGTGCTCTCATCAGCACTTCCTCCTCCGGTCTACCGGGCTCACCTCGTTTTAAACTGCCCGCAACCACGAGCACTGATTTTATCGCCCTGAGACCCCAGTCGTAGTGATCCTGCTTCGACAATAACTCCTTGCAGAGTGTGTAGAGAGTGATGAATTTACGGGCTAACACTTTGGCGTCTTGGAAGCCCTCGGCCACCAACATGATTTCACAGATCAATTCAAAGTCAGGTACGACCATAGCACAGGGTCTGAAGAGCGCTTTTAAATTCTCGGGTAGTTCCGTACGTCCTGCATAGCCAGGATTCATAGTGATGAATATACCAACGCTGGGAGTGAGGGCGATTATTTCCCCCATAAAGTTGAATTTCTGCTTCTTGTCTCTAATTGCATCTTGAACCGATTTAACCTGAACAGCCACCACCGACAATACCTCGACGGAAATTCTGTTGAACTCATCGAAACACCCCCACGCCCCCGTCTGAGCGAGACCTTTATAGATATTGCCGCAGGATTTGTAGTCCATTTGCTCGGAGCAGTTGAATACATAGACCATTATTCCCAAAGCTCTTCCAAGATCTTTAGTTGTTTCAGTTTTGCCAGTACCTGCGGGACCCGCTGGCCCTCCTCCCATCACCAAGTGAAGGGACTGGGTCAGAGTAATGTAACATCTGTCCGTTAGAGGTGTAATCACGAGTCTGCACAGAAATATAATAAAAGTGAGGATATTTTTTACGACTGAAACGTGATATTTTTGTATATCTCATCGCAAATACTCTGCGGTTTCATCACCAATGTTTTATTACCTCGGGGTATTCCCCAGATACTCATGAGAATATCGGAACTGAGCATCGCAAATATTAGCAAAGCAATCTTTCTCTTTTTCATCCCATCGGGTTCGCAGTTGGCTCTGCCATTGGAATGCCTGCGCACTCTCAACCTTTGCCTGAACAAATTTTCCAACTACATCTCTCGAGTGTACGTCTATGGTACATATGGTCATTATTTTTTGTCTGTCTTGTTTCGTCAGCTCGCCGAGCAGCAATGATATCAAGGTGCTCAGCTGATTAATCTGCTTTTTCAGGTAATCTTTTAAGGAATTATCGTAGCCCTCCTCAAGTCTAGCAAAAGCCATGTTGACTTCCGTGGTCCACCAAATTTGGGTTCCACAGAGAGACACTTGAGCTGGATAATCGAAGAGCCACTGTTCCCTGGGCTTCTCCTCGTATATGACCACAGCCTCACTCATGTAGAAACGAATTGTAACTCGCATGGCTTCCTGCAGACGATTTAGCCACATTTCTACTGGCCCCTCGCACACCATCTCGTAGTTGGCAAATAACACGTATTCACCGTCCTTGGCGTGCATTCCCTCTGTAACAACACTTTGTAAATAATCTTTATCCAAAATTGGTGAAATCTAAAATTTTAAGACTACCAAAGTAATTCGGCAAATAAAAATCAACTAATAAGAAGCAAAAGCTGTTCTCTCGGCTCTTTGCTCTCTCCCTGTTCTAGGATTATTACCGACTCCGGTTCTTTTGTTCCCAGTTTCGATGAATTTCAGTCTTGCCATTGAATCGAAAAGTTTGGTGAGATGACGAGCGACAATTTCCGGCTGATTTCCGTTGGACAGAATATCTAATAAATCGCTAGAAGATACAAAGTAAAAACGTGGGAAAGCTAAACGCTTGGTTTCCAGATATTCAGCTAGTGCCTTTTCACAAAGGACTAATTCCTTTTGCAATGTATCTAGTGATGCAGCTAAGCCATCCCTATTGGTGGCCTCTACGACATTCGGTGTTTTTGCCATTTCCTGGGTCATTTGTTTGAATTTCTCGTCGATTTTGTCGAAACGATCGGCGTCTACTGGCAACTGCTTTCGAATGTCCTCCGATGACATGAAGATACTCTCAAGGTGTAACCACGTTCTCTGTACTTCAAACCATACTGTTGTAACCTGATCAGCAATACTCAGTTTCTTCTGCCACGCCGATACCTCTCCCAAAAAGTGAGCGATGAACTTAGAGGTGATTAAATTTTGCAGTTGAACCTAGAGAAATGAAATTCCTCAGTTAATTTGGCGGGTTTTTGGTTGCATGTCATTTAATCTAGGTAAAAATAATCCTGAAAAATTGATACTAGTGGAAAAAAGAACGTCAACGTTAAATTTTAGCCGAAAAAGGAGAAAACATGGAAAAAAAATTAATTACACTGTTGAAAATTTTCTTCTGAATTTTCCGCGTCAAAATCCGGACATTTTTATCGTGTTCTAGTTCCACGAAATTTTTTTAAGGAAATCTTGTCATTGAAAATTCAAAATTTCGTGGAAAAATTGAACAGAACTGTAAATTTCCGTTTTATTTTTCCCTGAAAATGAATAGAAAACCAGAAACTTCAGGGAAATCTATTCTTTAATTTTCGAGACAATGACACTGAATGCGATTAAAATTCAATGCAATGTGACACTTAAAATTCATATTAGATTGGAAATTCAAAAAAATTAAGGAATTATCGTCTGTATGCCCCTGAAAATGCTAGAATTTTCCTGAATTTTCCGTGAAACCTGAAATTTCATTATTTTTCTTCTTCTAAATCGCATTCAGTGTCACTGTCCTGAAAATTGGCAGGCCAAGATAATCCTAAAAAATTGATCCTAGTAAAAAAGGAACATCAACGAGAAGTTCTAGAAAAAAAACGGAAAAAAATGTAACAAAGCCGATTAGGAATAAGAATCGTCATAAATGTATTTAATTTCACAACAGATTATGCGCGAATTATAAACACGGAAATATGAAAAACAACGAGAATATTCCAAAGATTAAAACTAAAAAACCTTCGAATTGATGCACCATTTTCCAGGATTATTCCATCTAAAACCACTTGCATAAACATTAAATGATAACCTGATTTTCCTCTAATGTTTCAATTAATTCCTCGCTCGCTCTTAATAGAGTGGCACCAGTGCGTTGATGCAGCTCAAGTTCAAATTCCATTGCCGACCAGGTAGAATTTAATTCCCTAAGATACTTCTCCATAGACATTTCTTTAACAGCTTTATCCACAATGTTCTTCACTTCGTCCTCGCACTCGTGCAAATTAAGTTCGAGTAAATCGGCCAGTGTAGTTGTATCATCCATCACAAAACGAACCTGATGTAAAATAATCACTTACACTCAGCAACTTATTTTCCCTCATTTGCCATCCATCGAGCTTGGTGCCTGCAGTACAATAGCGAAGTGCTTCGAATGCTGTGATAGAATGGAATGGGGCGAGGTGAAATGACAAAACAACAAGCACAACTGTTGTGTTAAATTGCTTTATTACGGATGAGATGATGAGTGAGTACAGTTCATAAATGATACATTACAATGATTTATCGAATTAATCATTCATCATGCTTGCGTAAATTGATGGATGAGTGCACATTGTCTGTGGCGATGTGAAACGAAGTAAATTGATTCATCTATTAATATCATACACTCAAATGATATCTCCACTCATTGAAAAAACTAATCTATCACTTATCATTTCATGGATTATGACTGATTCAATGAAGACTGCATTGAGAGAAAAAAATATATCGTGCGCTTATGTACAGTGAACTTACTGTTTCTTCAGGTGTCATATCGCCCAGTCTCTGTAACACCGATAGCATATTTACAGCAGTGCAACTATCGACTACGATACGTGTCCGTATAACGTAGTCATTGATTAACATAACTTGATATAATTAATGAAAAAAAAAAATTAATTGTAATTATACTTAGTAGCTAAAATAATCGTAAGAAGTATCGTTTTGGAAGCCCCAGATTAAATAAATCAGCCTCGTATGACAGGCACATTTAAGGCACATTTGGGGGGGGGAATTCAAGGGCAATTCCGTCTTGAAATTAAGCTCAGGGGTCCACCGGTCTCGTGCATCGTTTGGATACCTTTGTACTATTCATCAGCTGTCGCCAATGTCTCTCCCTTATCGCTGGATTCTGTAGCTCACCCACAGCGCGCAGTGATGTCAGCATGTTTTTAATAGTCGCCTCCAGTGATACGTAAACGTCCCAAGGTCGCATTTCCTTGTCAAGTGCTGGCATTAATATTACCATTAAGTACTTTCACATGGTGTACGCTGAATTATTGAATAAATTCGGAGAGGGGAGTGGGATATGAATTACCTCGTATCTCCTTGGCAAATTTTTTACACTCGATATCCATATTCTCAACGTCAATCTTCCTCCATGGCGTTGTTTTCCAGCCCTCTATGCTGCTTCGTACAATGGACACGTAGTCCCACAGTTGTTTCAACATCCTCAGCTCACGTCTGCATTGTTTCAGTTGTTTGAATTCCGGCACTGTCACCTCAAATAGCGAGGCTGACTCCTGAATGTCACTCATTTGGCGCTCGAGCATACATATCTCCTTGTCTGCCTCGTCCAGTAGGCTGTAAACGTTCTTGCACTCGAATTTGAAGCAGCTGTAGCGACGAAACGCTTCACGGTAGAGGCCGATTGTTGTGTCGAATGCTGATATCCTAGCGCGAATTCTTGATACTTCACCTGTCGTGCAGAATTTTTTTTTATTTACGGCGATTTTTTATAGCGTAGGTAAATAGGTGGGGGACAGAAAAAATTATATGGATTTTTTTAAAGATGAGAGGATATCTCTAATTCGATTGGATGATTGAGAATGAAGATTGATGTAGTTAATATACATGATGATTTATAAATTTATGCTACGTTTTTGTTGATGTTTGTTCAAAATATTTTCGTTTTTTAACGTTTGAAATTCTGAAATTTCTTGTTAAAAGAAATTGAAAATTCTTAAAATTCAAAATTCTTGAAATTTGAAATCTATAGTTATGGTTATTGTGAGACCTATGACTCGAGTCAAATTATAGCCAAATAGATCGATATATTTTTTTGTCTTCATTGAATCAACTATTGACCTGCTTGTAAAGGTGCAACTTGTTGCTTAACCATCACCGCCAATTTCTTGGTATTGGCCCACTGTTCTGGTAATTCCTGGAGAAACACATTCACCTCTTCCGGTATATCTTGATCATAGAACTTCAGCAGTTCAATAGTTTCTTGCAGTGGTTGAAACATTTCATCTGTCGTTGGCTGGCGCTCCTTCACTTGCATTAAGAAACCCATGACACTGACGAGACCCGTGTAATCGCCGGGTAATATCTGCTGCAGCAGACCCTCGTCCGCAAGTCTGCAAGCACATTAACAAGTTCTCACACAACAAATTGGGGGAATCCCCGCCCCTAATGTGTATATATATCCCGTACTCTCCCGACAGGCATTTTTCACGCTTATTGTATCATACAGACTGTAATCTCACCGAATGAAATTTCCCAAATCGGATAGACTGCTTGTAACGCGCTCCACTAGGTGTTTCTTGAACATACTGGACCATTTGCAAACGGTATTAAGGAGTGACTGCTTGAAGGGTCGAAGGTTGACGCGAAACCAGCCGCAAAAGACTCGAAACGGCGTCATCTCCTCAATTTCAAGATAGAGACCCTCGTAAAGGTCGATTTGCTCGCGAAATTGCTCCATGCGGGGAATGCACTTCGGAGGTGCCTTGGGATCCAACAACGCTATCATCTCCATTTCATCTATTGTCAGCTGACGGCTGTACTCTAAAAACTGCTGCATCACGATTTCTCTATCCTCGAGCCACAGATACGCATAACCTAAAGATCATTCCTTGAATACAAAACTTCTCAGACTTCGTAACATGACAAAAATTAATGATTAACCTTCGAAAATTCCGCAGAATTCAGTAGCTTCATCAATGGCCCTAGTTACCCCCGCCAAAATCTCATTCTTCATAGCTTTGATATCATCATCCTGCTCCAATTCAACAGCATACCCCTCGGCATCGGGTTTCAGTCTCTCGACCAGTGCAGCCATACGAATAATATCCTCCAACAATCCCGCAATCAACTGCTCCAGTCCTTCCGGATCATCCGGATCCAAAGTTGGCTCAAAATATAAATCGGGTTCTCTGAGTTCGAGTTTAGCTTCTAGAACGGGCTCATTGTGCGTCGCCGGATCCATATTCTCGGATAAATAACTGAGGCAACATCCAACTGATTTACGAAGGGATTCGGTCACGATATCATCTACGTACGTTACATACTCCCTCCACGGTTCTCCCCCATCTCCGGTGATTTCGAATAACACTTCATTCTCCTTTAAAAGTCCATGAATCTGCTCGGCAGCTCTTTGAATATCTGCATATCGCTTGGCAATATTTTCAGCCCTATCTTCCAACGAGAGGAGAGCATCTTTACGACGATCTTTACGTTCAATAAGAGGAGTTTTCGTCCACGGCTCCAATATCCCCCGTATTTTCTCCACATTTGCTTGAATGGCTTTTAATCTCTTCCACAGACCCTGAACTAGACCCCCTAATTCATTTATGTAATCAGGAAGTCCCTCTGATTTCCAACACAATTCTTTCTCCCCTCGTGTAATCAGCGAATCAATTCTCGCTACTTCCAACTCGATTAAATTGTATTCCACTTGTCTCGATGTACGTCGGATGTCGTTGTAAGCTGTCACTGTGGCTCCCAGGAGGGTGCGAAATTTCCGGAACGTTTCTGCTTGCTCTGACACCTGAAACGGAGCGCAATAGTCTCTTGCTCTCGATTTATTTGCTGAATAAATGTATTCCGGGGTGGAAACTGACCTCAGAGGCAATTTCCGGGATATCTGCGTGCGCCACTTGCTGCAGGTAGCTCACTTCTTTCAATACGGCTAATAATTCGTGGTCAAAGTTCACCATTAGGAGAATGGAGCCTCTGTCGCGGGTTAACAAAGTCCTTTGCAGACCGAATTCGATTATTTGGGGGACTGCTTCGGCCCATTCCAGGAAGAGCATCTTTTCCTTTTCGTTCAACATCTCGAGGAATCTCTCGTAACGAGCGATCACAGTCTCCCCTTCCTTGCTCTCAACTATTCTGTAATTTATTTTTACATTTCGTGAATTTTAACTTGATACGTTTTCATTGTCATTCTGATCGAGCACTTCACGCTGATAGACTGATTCGTTTATTGCAAACGAGATTCGTTGGCTATTAACGAATATGTGGAGAATGTTGGCCAAATGACTTCGTCAATTTTTTTCATCATTTGGACATTAGTAATTTCGCCAATTCGAATCGGCTAATGACCGCAGAGGCCAATTACTGAAGAATAATTATTAACGAATGGTAGAGTTGAATATGACCAAATGAATATTCGTTGATAGTTAACGAATGGTTCACTTCAAAGGTGAAAATCGAATCAAACAAGCCTCAAATATGCATTTGTTGACTATCAACGAATGAACATTTGGTGAGACCGAATGGATCCTCGTCTCCAACCAAATCCATTTGTTAACAACAACTAACTCACCGACAGTGTAAATAACCCTCATATGGGTTCTATACTATAAACCAAAAAAAAAAAAAAAAAAAAAACAACTAATCCTTTCTATCAGCGCAGTAACTCGATACTCACGATTTCTGTAGTGTCTTGAAACACTGCACTGGAAGATGGATTCTCTGTCTGAGCATACTCGTAAATCGTAGGGCGGCAGCGAGGGGAGGAAGGTCACCCATAGCACCGCGCGTACCACGATTGAACAGCACCTCCACCATTGTCAATTCGTTATTCAGCAGTTGGTATATCCGGGAGTAACGGTCCATGAACTGCTTACGAATCATCGGTCGATCCAAGACAGTACCGCCGATATTGATCAGCTGCAAAGATCGTAAAATCGTTGCCATAAACTTTAGCCCGAGGATATATCATCCGTATTTTTCAAAGACAATAAAGCAAAGAAGTACTAAAGCTAACCGAGAGAGAAAGGAAAAATAAAAAAAATACGTAAAAAGAATGAGAGATGGGAGAGACCTTGAAAGCACTCTCCAAATTGCTACAGTCGTCGAAAGCCTGGCAGAGAATAGCAGCGAGTTTGCTGTCGAGATCGGTGATTGATTCACCAAACTTGGCACAGTCAACAGCGAAGGACTCGTCGTCGGGTTCGAGGACGTCACTGGCTCTCGCTGAGAACGATGCAAAGAGCGCCTGGAACTCCTTGAAAACGCCAACAATCCTAGCGCTGAGAGAGCGACCCAGTACGCCGCCAATTTCAATTTTTTCGAGTTTTGAAAATTCGATTACGGTGTTGAAGAGCCACTCGATGTCAGATAGTCTCTTCAGAAAGGCGTCGAGACGTGTGAATACGGCGGAGGAGTTGAATGTCCAGGGGGGACTGTCTTCCTTCAAGCCGGGCTGATGTTTGGCCCTTTCAAATTGATATTTGAACTCCTCCAGAATGCCTAATCACACCAATAATTACTCAGGATCACTTGATTGTCGAGACGATTAATATTTACCCTTTGATATCTGTACTCGCTGCAGTGCTTCATCAACGTCACTCTGGAAAATGGACGAAGGATCGAGAAAACGTCTCGCCTGTTGTATCAACAGGTTGGATATCTGTCTAAACATGATAATCAACTTTGTTGAATTTTGGTAATAACGTGACTTTGCCCAGGCCAAGCCGACTGAGTGGATAACAGTGGCCATCACTGGCTTAACCTCGGAAAAGTCAATTTCCTCAATGGCTTTGAAGCATCTCCTCAGTGGCGTCAAGTACAGTGATATCTCTTTGGCTTCAGCGAGCGATGAGACGACGTTACTGAATAGTGTGCGAAAACAGGGATAGTAGGCGCTGTCTGTTTTCTCGAGGATTATTGCCATTTTTCTCACACGATCCTCCCGGAGTTGGTCGAAGATGTACCTGTCGAGAGGACCACACTGATAGACTGATTCATTCATTCCAAACGAGATTCGTTAACTATTAACGAGTGAACTTTTGGTGAATCCATTCGTTAACAATAACTAATCCTTTCATCAGTGCACAATTCCCCCATCGTAACTTGGGATTCCATAATCTCAAAACAGTCAAATAGAAAGGAAGAGTTAACCTTAGGTTTGTCAAACGCTTCGACCAGAACTCCAGTTCAGACGTCGGCGTGGGGTTCTGTCCATTCTCAAACGCAACACTCGAGTCCTGGGTGACAACGTCATTGACCAAGTAAGCCCACTTGATGACGACCCCTTCGATAGCGCTCTTCAGGTACAAATCCGCGGCCTGCGGCCCCTCCTCTGTCACCAGCCGCTCCACCTCCGTTACTTTCTCCAACCCCGCCGGCATTGGAAGAACCGTCTTACCATTCACCTGACCTTTGACCTACATCGTCAATCATCATTGTTAATAGATAAACGCATGAAGTCTAAATTTAGTTATTGAAGCGTGCGCTCGCCTGATACAGTGTTCCTCTGATGGAGTGAACGTGCCTGCAGATGTCTTGCACAGCAACTTCTGGTAAGTCTTTGTGATTCTCATGCTTGCTCAGTAGCGGCGCGTAGATGTTATCAACTAAGGTCGCGAGTTCGTCGACAACCCTATTTGAAAAATCACCCACTATCAGCATCGCCGCGCAACTGTCCACGTCCTTCGGGACTGGTGTCATTCGCGTTTTCACTGCATATGTTCCTTAGGAAAATAATAGTTCATTTTAAAGTCTTGATTACCTTGGAATTTTGTGAAGAGGGACGGGAGAGAGTGATAAGAACATCCGGAATGCGGAGGAAAAATTTCTAATTATTGCACTAATTTCTAATTATTGCATTAATTTCTCAATTATTGCACGGAGAGAAATATTCCGTAATTCCGGAGCGGAATGTGGTTGTAGGAAATTTTACGGAACTGTCACGGAATTTTTCCAGAGCGTTCCGTACTTTTGACCTGAAACTCCTGAAAAATTGAGATATCGTTACTTAAATTTTCCGAGTCGATTCTGTAATCGGTGAGCGAATTGTGAATTCCGTAATTTTTACTGAACGTTTCCCCCCGTGTGGTCGATAAAATCATTTTGAATTTGAAAATTTAAATTGATGGTTATTGTTATAATCAAAAAATTGGTGAGGTATGTTACCAATTGACTTATTAAAAATTTAACTGTAATTCAAAATTTCGATTATGCGGATGTCTGATGGCGACATGTTATCATTTGTGAAAATTTTCTTAAATTATTTGTGAATGTTAAAAAAAAATGCTTCAAAACAGCGGCATGTGTGGATGCAAAGCGACGAAAAAACTTTTGCGTTGCAACATCAAGAGAATAAAAAATCGAATAATTTCGTGACGACCTCCTACGCTTGTTTTACTACCTTTCGTTCTCTGACAGGGAATGGGAAAACTGCAGGAGGCCACAAGCTGAGCATTCGGTGTGAGCACAACGAATATCGCAGCTGGATAACAATTATCCAAAAAATCCAGAACAGCATTCCTGTACTCCTCCGTAAGCAGTAGTCTCCCCCATTTCTCGGGCTTCAATTTCAATGATTTCTGGACACAGAGGCCCAGATACTCCAGCCGATGATCAGTTGGAGACTCTGGACCCGCCATCACCAGTTCACCTCAAGAATCACAAAGAAATACGAGTGTAAATATCAGGCTCATCGCAGGGAAAAATATTCTACCATCTTCGAGACCCAATAGTCGAAACAGAACTGCTTGTTCCGACGAAAATCGTTGATGTCTTTGGGGTAAGGTCGCCTGTCGACCCTATTGTCACGGAATCCCCTGACGTTGCACGCGATTATATTCACCCCAGTGGCAGGCACCAAGCGTCTTCCAAAGGCTCGTATATGATATCAAGTTTAATAACATCGTTATCAGCATCCAAAAAGTCGAGGGAATTGAAATTACGTGCCTCCCCTACCCCAAGTTGATGTTTTAGCCGAGTGATTGCGCATTTGCGGAGTGACCGTAGTGCAACTGGCAGCCGTGGATAATCCAGGCAGTAACAAATAGCACCAGAATGTCACCCTGTGCCACCCGTATTTCCTCATGAAACTGGAAGTCACAATTTACGTCACGTAATATTCATAGTCTGTTTTATGATCATGGAATTGAGGATCGATGGTGGGTAAGGACGAGAAAAAATTGTTTGGTCTGACTAAAACAGTAGTCGACCTACAGCCGTTGGAATAAGTCATGAAAGTGCGCAATAACAGTGTTTTTAAAAATTCAGCGGAGCTTTTCTTCATTCTCGGTGAGTCGCAGACTGAATTTTTCACCCGAAGAATTATGAATCCATTTCTTTTTGCCGAATGTCGAGTTGTAACCAAATTGCCGAAGCTCCCTACAACTTGGTGGAGATGGGAGCAGAGCCAGTAACAAAAGAATAACTCCCAAGGGTCGAACCCCCTGGAACCATCTCGATAGGATCCTTAATCTTTCAACGTGCGGTAAATAATATTTTGATAACGTCGTGTACCCATCGTGCGGTCAATATTTGACGCTGTATCCGCAGATGGCGCATGTTCTTGGGTATTATGCCTTGTGTTCACTGAGGCAGAAGTATATTCCCTCTTCTTAATACCTAGCCCCTCGGGAGTGCAGGGACGAGGAAAGGAAGAGAGTATTTTTCATTTTTCCCGGTGATGGCTTAGCGACGAATTAGGAGAGAGAGAGGATGGACCTTCTGAGGGTCAAAGCATATTGAATTACTTTGGCCTGCTGTCGTTATCGCAACAAACCCCCCGCTGTTACTTCTCCCCAACGCATTTATATTTTTTACTTTACTTTCTTCACTATTTTTTTTGCTCGTTCGCTTCGCTTACGGCTTTTTCGCGAAGGCCCGTAAATTGTGAGGGCACAGTCGAGCGATTCTCCGGGAGCGCTTGGGCAACCAGGTAATAATGTGGACTTACAACGAATGGGTATTTTCGGGGATAAAAAAGCGCTCGCTTCGCGCACTGCAATAGTTTCTAGTGTACAAATGGGATTATCTGCGACTTTTCAAAATTTATATTGAAGTGGAAATTATGGAGAACAATTTGAGCTTTTCTTACTGAGAGCGATTTGAGCTTTTCCATTTAATGATGTCATTTGAAGAATTCTAGTATTTATGAGTGAAGTGGAAAACCATTAGCCCAACACAGGAAAAACGAATGTCTGAATTTCACACGCCTTTTGTAGACATTTTTCAGACGCTAGAAAACGTCTGAATAAAATTAAAATTTGTCTGAAATTTAGACGAATGCCCAAACATCTTAATTCATGTTAATTCATGTTTGTCTGAATTTCAAACATGAATTAAGATCTTTGGGCATTCGTCTGAAATTCAGACAAATTTTCAATTTATTCAGACGTTTTTTAGTGCCTGAAAAAATTATTCATCAAGTAGTGAAGGACGAGTCGATCAGACGAAATGTTTGGCGCATATTACAAGCGAAAATTTACTCAACAGAAATGAAGAAACGATGGAAATTGATGACTAAGCAAGTCTCGTGTTTTTACTGCCAGCCGTCGATTCAAGTATTTTCACTTTAGACTCTGAGAGCCGAGGATGAATAATGCGTCGGGGTGGCCCGGTTTGGGAGTGATTTCTTATTTAGGGGCTTTTGAACTTCATGTCATTTTTCACCTTGGCCCTTGTCTCCCTTCAAAAATCCTTTCTTCTGGGCCAAAGCCGTGCAGCCACAAAACCCATTCTCCCAAAAGTTCGCGGGAGGGAAGGGCGGGAGGAGTGTCTCTACCTCCGCTTTCGCTCGTCCCTCTTTCTTCTTTCTCTCTGTTCCACCCTCGTTTGTCCCGTATCACGGACAGAGTCTGGGTGCACGTCTCGACGAGGCCATTTCCAATTTTCTCCTCGGTTACGCCTGGACGTGCGGTCAAAATTCCCAGCTAGTCACGATTTCTCATATCACGTGTTACTGAGTATAAAACGAGAATGCGGAAATGGGGAATGAAAGGATGTGTCTCTGGGCTGTATTACATTCGGGGAAAGGGAAGAATCGGATGAAGTTTGAAGTATCGTTAGGTACTTTTACCTGAATTTTTTGTGGCATGACAAATGCAAGGAGAGGGACATTATTATTTGAGAAATGGAAACGAGTTTTTGTAATAATGAGGAATTATAACGTCACGAGATTTTTTTTAAAATTCATTACAATCAACTTCATTTAAACTGCATGAATTATTCATAAATTAATTTGGGCTTTGTTTAAACTCTTGAGGAAAAGACAGTTATTCAGGTTTTTTAAATTCAAATGATGAATTGAAAAATTTCAATTCACACTATAGTTTCAAGTATTTTGTGAGAATTAATGGAAATAAAAAAAAATAAGGTAAATATTGAGATTCCGACATTAAGAATAATCCTAACAAGCAGAATAAACCAACGGTTTGGCTGCAATAAAATAAAAACCAATAATAATCTCAACGAAAAAAATGGCTGAAGCTCTTGAAGAACCCTAGGACCTCTTTATCGTATATTGACACGCGCAGGGATATCGCCAGAGTAATTATCAGTGCGCCTGAGGTTGACTAGTTGCCCGCCTGAGGAAAATATATTCCACCCCCGTGGATGAAGGAAACCCAGTCTGGACGTCGAGGCACATGATCTCGCGTGACTGCCCATCGTGAGATTAGCTTCCCAGGGAGAATGAGCCTCCTAGCCATTCTCACCGAGATCAGTGGTATCCTGTCAACGTGTTTATATACCCGAGAAAAACTAATTCCCCCTCGTGATTCACCGATACCGGGAATTAAGTTTATTGACGTGGTGGAAATTATCGTCTTATCGAGATGAAGACATCCACAGAATTGCCTCGACCAAACGTATTTCTTCATTTCGTACGTTCAATTAAGGATATCCAAGTACTTTGGCTATTTTTTCTCCGGGCATTTACAATTATTATTATTTAAACTTTGCAGGTCTGAATTTTAATCTCGATATTGAAGCGTTAGAAGACACTTTAAAAATCTGAAAAAAATTAGAAAGTTTACTTTTGGAAGAAGATTTATGAAATAATTTAAAAAGTGCTATTTTTGAGAATTACGAGGGTTTTCTGTAAATAATAAGGGGCTATGCCCCCCCTCGATCCTTATTCTGACCCTTGTGACCTTAATCTGACCCTCATGACCCTTTTTTTAACACTCGTGATCCTTGTGACATTTAATTTTCTTAAATTCGACCACTAAATTTTTATCACCAAAAGTCGATTTTGATTTTTATAATATTTATGAACAATCAGATTTCCGCCATAAATATCAGTACCAAATATTAAAAAATAACTTCCCTGCCCGGGAAGTTAATAATAATTCTGTCCAAAATGTAACTCAAATGACGCTGAATGTTCATAATTTTTTTTCGAATTTTTCTCACGCAATTTAATCGATAAATTTAACGATTCAAAATAATTAAATCTATAGTGTGCGTTGTACCAAACTGTAAAAGATACTTGGATAGTTTTAAACACTAATTGGCTGTATTGAAAATATTAATTGCATGCTTGAGCTTCGGAGAAAGTATTAATGGCCAAATGAAATGGGAAGTTTAACCGAAGATGAAAGTTGCGCGGAAAACGAGCTTCATTCAGACCCTAGAACCTAGAAGTTTCAGAAAACTGAAAGTTTGTTGCATCAAGCAAACATTCTACGTTAAATTTTATGGTGAACCGAACACGGGAATATTCAGGAGGGAAAATTGAGGCAGGCGGAATAACCCGCTGTCCGTTGTGAAAATTAAGGTAATAAAAGCCCCCTCGTAACCGCAGAATGGTGACTTGTTGGATTTACAAGTGTGCATTTCATAATGTGTCTACTTGGGGTATACAATGGCTGCACTGGGGAGGATACACCGGGGAATTAATTAACGTGAGATGTTATATTAAAAAATTATAATTTGCAAAATTAAAATTTATATTAAAAAATTACAATTCAACTGAATTTTTAGGAAATTTCATAATTTAAAATTTATAATTCTATAAATAATGAACTTTTACAAAATGAATAAAAAATCGAAAAATTAATAAATAATAAATACATTTTTATTTATTTTTTATAGGAAAATCAGTGGCGAGTGTTAATTCTAGTTCAATTATATTCAGTCAAAATTCATAGTATGCAGGAAAGTTTGAATAAATATTTTCTTGTTTAATTTCGTGCTGAATATTCGTGTTTTCATAAATTATTGGAGAAAATCGGGGAATTCTCTTGTGTATAGGGCTTGATGCAATTGAATAAAAACATTAAAATATACATAAATTTTTTCCAGTGGGGAGCATTCGAGTGGGAGAATTTTGTGAGAATTCTTGAAGAGGATTTTATCGGGTAAAATTTTGTTCACTGACTTCCAATGGAATTTATAAACCGTAAGATCTCCGCATCTTGGCAAATCGAATTGTCTGGTTGTCATCCTGGCTGGTACACAGAGATGATCGCAATATTCCGAACCGCATGTGCACATTTTCCCATGTACTTCGGCTTCCTTCGGCGTCTAAAGGCATCCGGGGATTCCCCCTCTTCTATAACTTTTCGGGGAATGGCAATATGCGATTTAGGATTATCATAATGCTGCTGGAATAACACGATCAAACGAAATTTATGATCGAATG